TTGGGGTGTTACAGTATCGATACTACTTTACATAGTGGTATTGATACCATGAAGCATAGGATATTGGTCAAACCCAACGGTTTTTAAATGCTAGTTTATTTAAATATTACAAAGGTAGTACCGATACTCATTAAAGGAGTACCGATACTCCCTGTCCATGGCAGTTTTATTTTGCATAAAATTAATCCCCAATGGCTCCAAAACATCCCCAACTTCTAGAAACGGCCACAAACTCATTCCAACTTATAAAAACAAGTTGATTACACTTGAAGAAGGTTAACAACACCTATCCAAGCATTCATACACAAGAGAAAAGTTTTCAATCTTTATTTTCTTTCTCTTGTAAATATTTGTGTTTTGAACTTAATTGTATATCCTTAGGTTTTGTTTTTGTGAGCTTAAATCTTGTAAGCACCCTTCCTTTGAGAGGTTTTCTTGTTTACATCTTTCAACCTTTATAAAAGGGGATTGGTTCTAGCTTAGCCTGTGAAAAGCTAGGGAGTTGTAAAGGTTATCTCTTTATCATGGAAAAAAAGAACAAATTAGTAAATGTGTTAGAAAATCCTTAGTGGGGAGCTAAGGTAGTAGATGTAGACTTGCTTGAGAAGTCAAACCGCTATAAATCCTTGTGCAAATTGTCTATCTCTTTATACTCCTTACTCGTTAAACTCAAAAAAGTCAATTCGCCCCCTCTTGGCAAATTATCTGGTTGTTTATTTGAGCTTCATGTAATCCCAACACATTGTTTTGTTGAGTCCTCCTACTATTAAAAGTTGTAAAATGGTCATTCAACTATTGGACATTTCTTTGTTGAGGTTCTTGACTATTAAGACTTACAAAATGGTCATCCGAGTATTCATATGTTCAAAACTCATCCTTTTTCGTTGAAAAAAATGCAGTCTGAGTTGGACGTTAACCTACTGACTGAGATATGCTAAAATCTGATCCCAAAATCTCAAATGAATATCATATCTCATGCAATATGTTAACGTCCAGCTCAGACGACTGTTATTTTTTACCGAAAAATGATGAGCTTGAAACATATGAATAGTCAGGTGACCATTTTGTAACTTCTAATAGTTGATGGACTTAACAAAGCAATATCATATAGTCGGAGGACCATTTTGTAACTTTTAATAGCCCGATGACTCAACAAAGTAACACTCTATAGTTAAAGAACCATTTGTGTACTTTACCTTGTATAATAGTAAAGTTTTGTTGAAGGTATAAATAGAATACAATAATTTATGACCATTCATCCAGGTTAAATTAGATAAATATTCATTGAATATGATGATCAGATGTATTAAGAAGTATACCTTATTTGTATTCCATCTCAAGGTGTAATGTGTTGAACACATATAGACGGTAGAGAGGAATAAGGTGATGGGATTGATATTAGTAGATTAAGACCATCATTAGTAGGGATGCATCGAGGTAGGTGAGAGTAGTTATCCTTTGAAAATTTAAAGTCCTATATATTTTAGATACATTTTTATATTTTTTTATTAAATTTTTTATTTTTTTAAATTTTATAAATTCATCATCTAACATAAAATATTACATCAATCTCCTATCATTAAGTCTAACTTACTTTATCTCTAGTGATATCATGTTTTGGTTTAGATTGGACCTGACGATTACGATCACATCGATCAATCGTCAAGAAAGCGTGTACAGAGACATGGGTCAAAAGAATCAACTTACGGGAGTGTACGATGAATGACTCTCAAATAGACCTCCTCCACAAGTATTTTTGCGGAAGCCTCTTTTGAAAGCATTCATATGGGACTTGAAGTAGTGTTTAACAACCTCAATTTGGTTTGATAACTATTAGATGTCACATTATAGATTTGAAGTGTGAACGAGTGTAAATTTAAAACTTTTAATTCTTTTCTTAAATAATTTTTACTTGAAGAGAGGATAATTTACAATTTAAGGGAAAGAAAATGTGTCAACTGAAAATTTTTAACAACATATTCTAAAAATTATTGATTTTTATTGTGTCATTTTAAAATCATTGAATCAGCTACTTTAATCGGTTTAAATCTTTCTATAAAATTTTGATGTATCTTAGGATTATTATGTATATCGTTATCTTTTAACGAGGGATTATCCATGATATCAAGATTTTGTCTTCCTTTTAGGTTGTAAGAAGGCCCAAATAAGTGGGTCACAATACTTGATATACATATACGCGTAGTGGTTTGGCATATTCGTCGAGCTGTGGAATGTTCTTTTTTACAAACAAAGCAATATTCCTATAATATATATCCTCTTAGCTTCTCTCCTGCCTGCAGTTTTCCGATCAAAAAGAAAAGCCTGTCGTTGGCTTTCTTGACAACAATGCCCTTATTTCCACTCAAGACTACAGACCATAGCCTCAAATTATATCTTTTCGATATGGTTAGATCGGTCAAATCCAAAGAGAGAAAAATTGGCTTCAAATATGGTCAATTAAAGCTCCACTCCCGGCATTTGAAGCTCAAGTCTTTTTTTTTGGGGGGGTTAATTTAAAGCATATATCATGCAGCCAGATAGAAAAGGGTTTCTGCAGTGCCTTTTTTTTTCAATCTTTACAGCAACAAATGAGGTAAGTTACCATACTATACTTTTGCCTAGCAGTTGGTGTTTTTTCCTCGATTCTGCTTTTAGTTTATTTAGTAGGGTAAACCATGTGTATGGTTGGATGATTAAATATATTGAATTAATTTAAAATTATGATTGAATTGATAGAATATATAATTAATAAGGATTAAATGTGTAATTATACAATTTTTGTTAACTGTCACATCATATTTTCATTAAATATTAACGACAGGTGACTCGATTAGTATCATTTAAATAGTTAAACGATCTGATTGATAAAATTAAAAGATTGATAATCAAAGTGAAAATGAATAATAGTTATTATGGTGAGATTTTGATCAAGATTCAAGAACACTCGAACTAGTCTTACATGCAACATTGCAAGGAAACTAATGTTGGGAACTCAAATTGCAACATGATCTTCTTTTGTGTGGTTAGGAAATGGAAATTTTTAGGGGTGTAACTATATTTCAAACATCTCTTCCATGAAAGAGATCGTAATCTTAAGATTCGAATATTAGACTTATTAAATGTCATCTATAATTTTTTTTATAGGAATGGAATGTGAAATAGAGACTAGTAGGTAGTAGTCTCATCTAAATCAACTGGTTTAATTCAAAATTCATACATTTCAATCTTCAAAAGAGTTTTGAGCGAGAGAATTTGCTGTCTTTTTTCAAGTTGTGATGTTTATTTTATTGGTCCCTCTTTCACATATTTTTGTTTGGTTATTTGGAGGAAGGATATTTGTTCCTCTTCTGGCCCCATGAGGAAACTCCACTTGTGGTTGTAAATGTAAGATAATGGTCCAAAGTACTAACAACGAATCTAATTTTTCTTTTTTATAATTTTAGTATAATACATATACTATAGTTGTTCGAACTCTAGACATCTAGAAATAACAATATTCTCTTTAACTATCATGGTTGCTTGATGAATTATTAGGTAAATTGTTCTTTTCACAATCTAAGCTACAATTTCACCATAGTTTATATGTTCCAGATGATTTAAAACGGAAAAATTGGTAAACATGGTGAGAGAGAGAAAAAAGGAAATATTGATCCAAAAATTCTTTATAGGTTTAGTAATTTGAATACTAATCACTAAAGTTTTCGACAGGTGAAATTAATTTTGGAAAAAATATCGACAATTTCATCTATTTTTTATATTTTAAAATTAAATTAAAAGAAAAGAAAATTATAGGGATTAAGATAATTTTTTAAAATTATTCTTTTAAGTGAAACAATGAGTTTAAAGATTGAATCATGTTATTATTTGAATTATAATTATATTATTAAACTTTCAAATATTCAATTAAAATAATTTTGTTTTGAATCCATATAATTTTTTTTAGATCTAGGACCAGTGGGACATTGTGATCATTTTTATCCTGACAATCTTATTTTTATCTTTAATTTTATTTTTTCTTGATAATTTTAAATCTATGATATTACTTTTTGACTTTTCAAACATAAAAAAATATCTGGAGTAGTATATTAAAATTTTAAGAATAAAAGTTTCTACATTTGTACATCCTACCAACGTCTGTCAAAATTGTGTCCATTTGTTATCTTATTAATATTTAAGTAAAAACCTCTTTCATAAGTTATCTTATTAATTATTTAATTACTTAAATAGGTCCCTCAATGACCAATATAACTTTTAATTAAAATTTTTAAAATAAAATTCAGCACCATTTGTCAATTCGGAGAAAAGGGAGTAATAATTAACAATTTTGCTCGCCCCATCTTCTAATGCCATTAAGATATTCAAATCAGGAATGTGTAAAAGAGTTTGATTACATTAATTTGATTTTTTTTAATATGTTTGATCTGATTTAAAAAGTTTAGATTTTCAATTTATTTTTAATTTTTTTATAATTTAAATTATTGTTTAAAAAATATAAATAATTAGATTAGATATACATCGTCTAAATTTTAATTTTAGATCATCTAAAAATCTGATTAAAATTGGATATTTAAAATTGAATAAATATGTTTATTTTGAACCCTTTAATGTTGAACTTAAGAATTATAATGTTTAATTATTTATTATGTATAAATTATTTTTTTAATAAATTTTAAATTTAATCATAATCCTAGAGGAGAGAAGGTGTATCTAAAAGTCATTTAAAGAAATATAAGGAACATATAATATCGGATATCGGAAATGCACACGTAAATTCAAAAATAAATCGGACATCTCTTAAAATTCCTCGTGTCTGTATAAGATTGGTCCGGCTGTATCTTCGTCAAACCGCCTGCTCCACTTCAGGTTCCGGTTTTCCGCCAAACCTACAGCTCCGGGTTTCCAAACCTACCAACAGTCCAGATTAAAACCGTATAAAATTAAACGGCCCAGATTAAATCTAACGTGTAGATTTTATATTAAGCCGCAAAAGATAGTAGAGGGTTTGAAGAGGTAGAAGAGAACAGTAGAACAGTGGGTTTCCTTTTGGATCTTCAAAACGCTAGGAAAGTAGAAAATCGGTTGAAAAAAACATGGCTGAGCACGAAGAGAAGCACGAGGAATCGTTGTTGGAGAAGATATCGGACAAGATCAAAGGTGATTCATCATCATCGTCTTCGGATTCCGATGACGACAAGCCATCGGAATCATCTATGAAAGCTAAAGTCTTCCGTCCCTTCGGAAGAGAAAAGCCCGTCCACCACGTTCTCGGTGGAGGCAAACGTATGTTGCACAAACCCTTTTCTTCACTCCTTAAATCTGTTCATTTCAGTTCTTTTCAAGTCCGGGTTTTTTTGAAGTTCCCGATTTCCGTTTTTAAACAGTTAAATTCCCATTTTGTTAGAAAAATCGACGATTGTTAAAGAGGTAGATCTTGCTCAATGATTTAGATCGAGCTTTTGGTTTTGATTAGTTGATGTTGTTTGAGTATGAAAGTAGGTTATGGAGTTTCGAGATCTTTAACTGAATGATGAGAATAGTTCTACAGAAGTTTACTTTTTCGCTTTATTAGAGTGAACGAAATCTGGGATTATCTTTATTTACCAGTAATTTCAGAACATCGTATTTGTTTACCAATCATGTTCCTTGATACTAATTTGATAACTTTTAATTGATTATCATCTGTAACTATTACATTCCGACAATAATTGTTTATGATGCATGCTTATAATTGGGTGTATGTGTGATAGAGGCTGATATTTTCCTGTGGAGGAACAAAAAGATTTCGGCTGGCGCTCTAGGTGTTGCAACTGCTATATGGGTTTTGTTTGAATTGCTAGAATACCACCTTCTCACGTTAGTGTGTCACTTGTTGATACTTGCTCTTGCACTACTCTTCTTGTGGTCAAATGCTGCTACCTTCATTCACAAGTAAGCTGTTGAATTTGTTCTCTAATTCCGGGGATACATTCAGATTCTGGTTTCTTTTGACTGGACATAATGGTGAATTGTTTTGAATAGATCTCCACCGCGCATTCCTGAAGTTCAAATCCCCAAGGACCCAGTTTTAGAGCTTGCACAGGCACTTAGGTTTGAGATTAACCGGACTTTTGCTGTCCTGCGGGATATTGCATCTGGAAGAGATCTTAAGATGTTCCTCTCTGTATGTATTTTTATTTCACTGAATAGTCTTCTTGTTGTTGATCATTTGCAAATATTCATCCAACTTGGAATTAAGATAGTGGTGCAATGGTTACTTGGGTTGCTTTGCTCTATTTGAAGATTCCCAAGTAATTTACCTTGCATTTGACTATCATATTGGATTGGCACCCTGATTTTTTTCAGGTGATCGCTGGCTTATGGGTCTTGTCTATTGTGGGAAATTGGTGCAACTTCTTGACACTGTTCTACATAGGTATATTACTTACCTTTAAATGCTTTGCTTTCACTCCCTCGAATACATTTTTGTTTCCTGATTTTTTTAATGGTTGTGCAAAGTAGTCTTTGCACTACTTCACACCGTGCCTGTGCTGTATGAGAAGTATGAAGACAAGGTGGATCCATTTGCTGAGACAGCATGGCATGAGATCAAGAAGCAGTGTGCAGTTTTCGATAAAAAAGTCCTGAGTAAAATTCCCAAGGGGCCATTGAAGAAAGATTAGGTTACTGGTGAAAATGTTGCTGTTGCTAGGTTTTGACAAACAACTGCTAGCTGTTTCTGTGAAGGTGGTGTCAAATTTTATCCAGTATTAGTTAGAACCATGCTTTCATATGTTCACAATTTGTCGAATTTGTGATCTTTTAATTCTCGTCTTTACTACACACATGGTAGGCTTTTATATGTCTATATATGTGACAATATGTTATGATATTGCATGTTGTGGATCAGTGTGTTGTACATTGGGTTGAAGGTTATCTCTACTTGTTATGGATATCTTTCTGAATGATTCACTTTGCTTTCTGTTGGAGGCTTGATGGATTCATGGTCGTTTTTAATTTCTATTGTGTTTATTAAAGATTGAGAAAACATTGCAGGCACTAGCCTAGCCTGCATCCTATAATATTGGATATTAGATGAAGATGCCCATGTGGAATTTTCTTGGAATGTAACCACACCTACTGTAGCATAATGCAGGAAGTCTTGAAATTTAAAAATAGAGCGACATTATATATAATTTTCAGACATGTCTTTTGAGAAGCGTGCATTTTCTATGCCTGAAAATTCTTCTGATTAATAATTATGAGCGTATTTTAAAAAAAACGATACATTTTTGTTTTTATTGGATATATCTAATTAAAGAATCAGAACCCTTAAATCTAATCAGATTGATGGTTTCGGCCTATACACAGCAGAAAGACATTTAAAACAGGCATCAACAAATGGAAAAGAAAGAAATACTATTTACCATGAAGGATGAAAGAGTCCTCACCTAACAAGTTAAAAACGCAGTTTTACAGTTTCAAGATTGTAGGTTGCCTTCAGCCAAACTGCACATAAAATCTTCATTCCTTGGTCCATGTTATAAGACAAACAGAAACAGTGGAGCAATTCAACGAGCCATGCTGGATCAACTGAATTGCCTACTGGCTGGCATGCAGCATTCGTGTTACTTGGTGGCATTCAGATGGCAGACCTCTCTACGCATTCATTCAAAGCACACCCCACAAAATCGGCCTGAAGCATATGCTTCACTTGAATATTAGAAGACAGGATTGATTATCTCATTAAATCCAAAAACACAAAGCCATTCCAGAGGCTGTGCAGAAGCATAGAAGGCAATAAATTCCTTGACCGTGTAAAAACGACACCCATCACCATTCCTAGGAAAATAAGCGGTAGCATTCTCTGTACATTAAAATGTGCCAGAGCAAAGAAAACTGAGCTTACCAGTATTGCACGCCATACAGGCATGTATTTGGTCAAGGAAGGGAGAAGGAAACCCCTGAAAACTATCTCCTCCCACACAGGAGCACAAATTGAAACAACAATCGCATATAGTGCCATCGCCACCGGATCTCTTGCTAAAATTGATTGCTCAACACTTGAAAGGGTTACAGGAGTAGAAGGCATCAGTGGCAACAAGTTGAGGTTGAACTGTGATAATCGATTGACGAGAGGAAACATGAGGCATCCTAGAGCAACATCAAAAAGCCACTTCCCTCTCAAGCTAAATTTAAACCAATCTGATGGAAGGGGATGAAATTGAGACAGGCAGCGGTTGAGTATTACAATCCCAGCAAGGCCTTCAGTTACGTCAGTCACAAGGCTGACCAAGGCTTGCCCTCTGAATTTTAGAGATTCCTTGCTGAACCCTGCCATGTAAGCAGCAAAAGGAACCATCCAAGACCCAATGAACCAGAATGCAGCTACCCATAGAAGCATAACCTGCATGCATAAGCACAGAACATAATATCATGCAACTAATTGACACATTTGTGATTCATCAAACTTTCAATGAGATTGTCATACAACAAAGTGGCATTCCTTCAGTTCCATCCAATCCATTACTATAGTTCCTAGTCTTGAAATGCTAACAAGCATGATTATTTATTAATATCTAGTTTCAGATATGATCATTTCAACCTATTACCATATAGTGTTCCACTTATTTACTGAAATTCATTTACCTATCTCCTAGACAAGTTATCAAATATCAGATATAAAACAATAAACAAAGATTTGTTCATGTTATCTACCAGAAAATATTGAAACTACAACTAATGACAAATTAGGAAGGATATAAAAGAAAGTCTCAATTTTCTCCTCTCTTAAATTTGTTTAGGGTGTGTTCCAGAAGAAAATTTTGAGATGCACCAATTCCAAATAACAGCATTGGTTATTACATTGCTGGGATAGTGTAATATGGGTATAATTATATTTATAGAAGCGTATAGACATTAGATAATGAAACAAATAAATTTTTTAATGAGATTTGAAAGAAGGTTTAAGTATGTCATAGGTCCCTGTACTATCTCAAAATTTGAAATTTAGTCCCTATACTTTTTTTGCAAAATTTGGTCCATTTACTATTTTAAATTTCAAAATCTTGATCCCTCCGCTAGCTTCTGTTCAGTTTTACCATTAACTGTTGACCCGGCAGCTATAAAAAAATGAAAAATATTTTTTTAGTTCTCTATGTTTAACAATTTTTATCAATTGAACACTTAAAAAGCTGTAAACATAGATGATTGGAAAATTGTATTTTTCAATTAATGAAATTATTTATTTATTTTTAAAGATTAAGGGTCAAATTGATAAAAACTGCAGACATAGGGACTAAAAAGTTATTATGCCTTCTTTTATAACTGTCAAGTAAGAAATTAACAGTAAAATTGAACATAATCCGGAGTAGGGACTATCTTTTCAAATAAAAAATAGTATAGGGACTCAATTTCAAAAAAATAAAGTATAGCGACTAGATTTTAAATAGTACAGGGACACCTAACATATTTAAACCAGTTGAAGAAATTAAGAATGACAAAAAAAAGGAAACATAGTATATGATGATTTCTTACCATAGAACCAAAGAATTTAACAAATTCCACCTCAAAAGGTAGAATTGGAAAAGAGAAATCAACACTCCAAAATCCCTCGTTCAAAGTATTTTCACAATTCCAATTTTCATTTTCCAAACAAGGTAAGTCCATTTTAAAATTTTAAGTCTCACTAACATATATAAAACCTTAGCTGCTTGCTTCAGTACAATAACTGACCAAACATGCTTAATTATAAAACCTAAATAGGCAGTTACAGACTCAAAATATATTTCTACAGAATACCAAGTAAAAAAGCTAACCTGCAGAATGGTCTCTGCTGTCCATGGTACAGTCCACCTGCTACCAATAGCCCTCAAGATTGCATCTGCAGCCTGCATCATAACCAGCTAGTTTCATCATTTTCCCTATAAAGTTTAAAAAAAGAATGAAGAATAAAAATGTAAAGAGATTAGCAAACATGTCGACACAATCGACAAATTCTGCACTAAGCTCAAATTTTTTATCCCTTCAATCCATTACTAACGCTTTGATCTAAAACCACCATGATTGTATTTTGCTAAGAGCCAAGTTGGTATTTAGTAAAATATGCCATAAACTTATTCTCATCAGTTGCAGATAAGTTCAACTATGAGAAAACATCTTAATTCTCCCATAAATTATATCTGAGTGACAAACAAGAAGCAGCACCTTAATTTTCCCACAAATTCATTGTCCAGGTTCACAAGAGGCTGGTTGCTACAGAGTCAGTGATCAACCAAAGAGCAAATAGTTGGCATACAGATTAAACTGAAAGTATGCCACTTCATCGAATTGAACCAGACTAAAGGAAAACATCACCTCTTTAAAAGTATATTTCCAATCTCTTTTCTGAGCACTTGACTTGTCGAACTTGATCTGCACTAATTCTTCAGGCAGAAAATGCTCAATGTATACAGGTTTTGGATTTTCTGGGGAAACCCCTTCATGCCTAAAGCATGAAATTTTCCATTTCTGCAATTTAAAAACAAAACCATTAACCATAAATAGCTAGAAACAAATAGTACAGTTAGCATAATTTCATTAAACATAACCGAGAAAATGAGATAACCAATTGAAGCCAAAAATAACTCTAGTAAATAAAAGCTACTTTCTGGGTTTAAATGGCCTAATCAAGTTTCCATATACGTAGTTTTACTCTTTATTCCTCCATTTTCAGAGCAACCAAGCAGAACCAAACTAACTAAAACCAGTATCAACAAAATTTTCATATATGTAAAAGTTTAACCAAGGCAGCCTTAGATGGATTAAAACTTCCAATTTTGTTACAATTAATTTTTCCTCCATTTTCTCGGCAAACAAACAAAATACATTTCAAAATTTCAGCTTCATATTCTCAAAGCCAAAATTCAACATAAAAATGAAAGAACAATAATGCGTGTGCTCTTGTACTTACGTTCTTCGTGAGCTTGGGATTGTATTCAAAGATCCGGGAGCTCCGGGTTAAAGAAAAGGTACCGGGGCGGTTCGGAACCCGAAATTTGGAGAGAGAAGGTGCAAGAACAGGGTACTGAGAGCAACAGGAGATGAACATGAGGCCCTAATTTCAAGAACCACAACAGATTGCGGCATTAAAAAGGCATAACTCTGAATTATGAACCCTATCTGTGAGGAGTTTGGGGCTCCGAGTTTAGGGTGTTGGAAGCTACTTTCCAGTTTCCTTGGTAATCCTTCCTTTTCCCTGATCCAATGGATTTTCGGGGGTTGTTTCGTAAAATTAATAATTTTTCTTTGTGGTCCCTTTCATTTTACTTTATTTTAACTGCGCTCCCCAACCCCAAAACTCAAGTTACCTTGCAATTTGCACAACAATAAAAATAACAAAGTTTCTCTTTGTTATTGTACGACCGCAATACCTCTAATTACTATAATAATGTCTTTTACATCTATAATCACAAAAACACGATATAATTAAAAACATGATCATGACCGTAATTTAAATCACTAATAGAGACTAGAGACATTGCTACATTTAGGACTCAAGGTGGGGAGGGTATCAAACACTTTTGCCTTAAGATGGATATTTAGCTGACGGATCTCACGTCTTCTCCATCATCATACCAGAACTCACAAATTGTTCAAAGGATCATAAAACTTGGTTTCAAAACTAAGAGGCTTTACCAATCTCTACAATCAGTCAAACTCCTAGAAAATGTAACATGTTACCGAGAAACTCCCTAGCTAAATGGACCTCCATATATCGATGTTTATCGGCTTACAAGTTTAGCTTGAGGAACCAATTCCTCAATAGCTGGATGTACTTCTCAAAATAATATCCAAATGCATTGTGTATAACACTGTGTATCAAAATGCAACTCGAAATTGGTGTTATCTTGTTAAGAGTTTGCTCAGTAGTGTATGCTTTTAAGTTAGAGTAACAGATAAAAACAATATCCAAATACATTATGTATAACACAGTGTATCCAAATGCAACTCGAAATTGGTGTTATCTTGTTAAGAGTTTGCTCAGTAGAACATGGTGTACGCTTTTAAGTTAGAGTATCAGATAAAAACAATATCTAAATGCATTCTGTATAACACGGTGTATCCAAATGCAACTTGAAACTTGTTGAAAACATTTTGATATTTCGATATAAAAAATTAAGTTAAATGAATTTTAAGATTTTCCACAAAGGTTTTCTAAGTATATTCGATATAATTATTCGAATATCAAAATATTACTCCAAATCTTTCAAATGTCATTTTTAATCCTTACTCAAGTGTAAAATTAAGTTTTAATCTTAAAATAATTTCAAAACAATTTTACAAAATATTTCGAACCATCTTAAAGCCAAAAATTCCAGATTGCTCAGAGGGAATCGATTCCCCCCTGAATGGTTTGGCTCCGAGAATTCCAGTATGCTCGGAGGAAACCGATTCCCCCCTATGTAACGGTCGAAATATTTGAATTTTACACTTAGGGAACCGATTCCCCTTAAGGGGTACCGATTCCCCCATGCTCCAAACTGTTTTATTAATTGATTTCACACTAAAACGGCTATATTATCTTCATTAATGATCCCCAACGTTCAGAAGTGATTCAAGGTGTATTTAAGCAAGCTTAGAAGCCATTGATCAACAACAAGAAACATCAAGCAACTAGATTCAAGAGAGAATCAAAGAGAAAGCATCAAACCTCAAGTTTGAGCATTTCAAGCCTATTTTTCATTCAATATTCATTTTGCTTTCAAAAACACTTATTGTGTTCAATTGTATTCATTCTTGAGTGTTCTTTTCTTTGTTCTAGAATTGTGCAAACAATTTACCTTGTCAGGATTTCCTTGTAAGTTTGCAAATTTGTATTGTTCTCTTTGGGAGAGAGTGTTCTCAAGAATTTGGGGTATAATTCTTGAGGGTTTGTAAGGTTACTCTTTGTCCTCAAAAGAAAGACAAATTAGTGAATTTGTGGAAAATCCTTAGTGTGGATAGCTAAGGTAGTGGACGTAGACTTTGGTTGAGAAAGTCGAACCACTCTAAATCGCTGTGCAATTTCTTTCAATTTTCTGCAAAAGCTTCCACCAAAATTTTTATTGCCAATTCACTCCCCTCTTGGCCAATTCCGTCAATCGATTAATTCAACAATTGGTATCAGAGCCTAACTCATTTGAAGGTTTAATCGCCTCTTGAGTCGATTCGGGAAGAGATACATCGATAATCAAAGTCATCAATGGCCTCTACTTCAAACTTCGACTCTGGTCTCGATTCGATGCCCGTCAACAAGCCTCCTTTCTTCAATGGGGCTAATTATGCCTATTGGAAAAATAGGATGATGTACTTCATTCAAGCAAGTGACATGGGAGCATGGAATGTCGTAGAAGAAGGATACTTCAAGCCTCTCACTCATCCAAGATTATGGAGTGAAGGAGAGACAAAAATGTTCCAGCTCAACTCCAAAGCCATCCATATCATATTTTGTGCTCTTGGACCAGATGAATACGGAAGAGTTTCATCTTGTACAACCGCCAAAGAAATATGGGACAAACTTCAAGTCACTCATGAAGGTACCGATGAGGTAAAGAAATCTAAAATTAGTATTCTAACGCATAGCTATAAAAATTTCAGGATGAAACCAAATGAAGATATCAAAGATATGACAGATAGATTCTCAACGATTGTCAATGGTCTCAAATCATATGGAGAGATCATTTCAAATGAAAAGCTTGTGAGGAAGTTAGTCTACTCCCTCCCAAAATCGTGGCAATCAAAGAATACGGCAATCATCGAGTCTAAGGATCTAACATCCTTAGCTCTTGAAGAGCTAATCGGTTCACTCCTCACTCATGAAATGATGCTTGAAGATGAGGTAGACCTTGATAAGATTGAAGAGATACCAAAGGAGAAGGAGAAGGGAGAAGAAGAAAAACATTGGAGTTGCTCTCAAATCCACAAAAAATGAGAGTGATTCGGATAAAGATGACGATGACGAGGGAATGGCATTGTTTGCCAAACGGTTCAGAAAAATGATGAGACCTTACCGAGGAAGAAAATTCAAACGAAATGAAGACCTCAAAAATGAACCAAAAGAGAAGGACCCGATTTATTTGCTATGAATGCAAAAAGCTGGGGCATGTCAAATATGATTGCCCACAACTGAAGAGAAAGGGTCAATCAAAAATTAAGCACAAGGCTCATATGGCTACATGGAGCGATGAAGAAGGTTCTGATGAAGAGGAACAAGAAGTAGCAAACTTGTGCTTGATGGCATTCGAGGAAGATTCTAAGGTAACCTCTAACTCATCTGATTTTGATGATTTATCCTATGATGAGTTATTAGAGGAATATAATGGGTTGGCTACGGATTATGAGAAATTGTTTTTAAAATATAAAAATGATGTTTCAAAATTAAAAAATGAAAATAAACTCATATCCAAAACCAACAATGATCTTGAAAGTAAAATCAAAGATTTGCAAATCAAACTAGAAGAGTTTGAAAAAAAAAATTGGATTTGCAAAATTTACTTTCAAAGGTCAATGATGATCATCAAAAGAAAATTGATGATCTTAAAACTTATTTTGATAAAGTTGGAACAAAACGTTTTGAAAATGGAGAAAATTCAAAATCCATCTTTGTTAGAAAAAGTTTTAAAAACTACAATCATAGAGGTCCCCAAAGAACCTCTAATGGAAAAATCGTTAGAAGTATATGGGTTCCTAAAGAGCTCATTACTACTAAAGATAAGGATATCCTACACAAATGGATACCTAAGGGGACTAGGATTTTGGAAACTAATGAATATGGACCCAAAAGAATTTGGGTACCATAAATTAGAAATTAATCTATGTTTGTAAGAAAAGGAGCATTGCTACAAGGCACGGGAAACAAATCCAAATTCATGGTACCTTGATAGTGGATGCTCAAGACACATGACTGGAGACAAAACCGGTTCATTGAGCTTAACGCCAAAAATGGAGGAGAAGTGACTTTTGGTGATGATTCAAAAGGTCACATTGAAGGTATTGGTACTATTGGTAATACCTCTTCCATACAAATTAAGAATGTTTTATATGTGAATGGATTAAAGCATAATCTATTGAGTATTAGTCAATTTTGTGATAAGGGATTCAATGTCATGTTTGATATTAATGGTTGTAAAGTCATTGACATTGCATCTAATCGGATTATGCTTGTTGGTCATAGAATAGGAAATATATACATGGTGCATTTATATTATATTGATATGACTAAGTTGTGCCTAGTTGCTAAGGATGAACATGATAGTTGGTTATGGCATAGGAGACTAGGACATGCTAGTATGAGTGTTTTGCAACGGCTAACTCAAGGTGATTTAGTTCGAGGGTTGCCTAAGCTTAAATTTGAAAATGATAAAATCTGTGATGCTTATGCTAAAGGAAAACAAAAGCGAGTTTCTTTTAAATCCATTAACGACGTATCAACTAGTAGAGTTTTACAATTGATCCATATAGATCTTTTTGGGCCAACTAGGACTATTAGCTTGGGTGGAAAACAATATGCATTTGTCTTTATAGATGACTATTCTAGATATACTTGGGTTATATTCTTAAGTACTAAAGATGAAGCATTAGAAAAATTCATCACGTTTTCAAAAGTAATCCAAAACGATAAAGGTTACTCTATAACTAGTGTTATGAGTGATCATGGCACTGAATTTGAAAATCTTGGATTTATTGAGTTTTGTAATTCTAATGGTATTAGTCACAATTTTTCAGCACCTATAACCCCTCAACAAAATAGAGTTATTGAGAGGAAAAATCGAACTTTAGAAGAAATGGCTAGAACCATGCTTTGTGAAAATAATTTGCCAAAATATTTTTGGGCGGAAGCCACAAATACCGCTTGTTATGTTGTAAATCGAGTAATGATTAGGCCAATTTTAAAGAAAACTCCATATGAAATTTTCAAAAATAAAAAGCCTAACATTAGCTATTTTCATCCTTTTGGATGTAAATGTTTTGTTTTGAACAACAGTAAAGAAAACCTTGGCAAATTTGATGCTAAAAGTGAAGAATGAATTTTTCTGGGTTATTCCTTAAATTCTAAAGCTTATCGAGTATTTAATAAAAAACTTTAGTTGTAGAAGAGTCTATATATGTTGTTTTCGATGATAATCCCCTTCTGAGGAAGGATTCTTGTGTTAATGATGATGTAGGTATTATAAATACAAATGACGTTAGACATGACGTTGGAGAATCATCATCAAAAGAAGAAATAAAAGATGATGAAACTCATGATCCCC